CGTTCCTCCGTTGATAACTCTTTGGCTTCCTTCAACCAATTGTGAAAAGACCCATTGCCTAAATTAATTAAATTATAAATGTAAGAATCCTACATAGCCGTTAGCAAATAAAAGTATGATATACCTAGATCAATGACTCCTTCGAGATTGGCGAGGGAATGGAATAAAGCGAATGTGCCACAGGCATTCCCAATCTTTTGCTTCATGAAAAATACATTGTCGGGAGCTTTCGCTCCGGACGCAAGAAGGGCATCATATACGGTTTGAAGAGGTACCTTTCCCTGCAACTTTTAGAACTTTCTGACCGTTTATCCAAAGGAAAAAAAGTGCAAAAGCAACAAACATACTTCTCTCTCAGGAAAACAAAGTATGAGTGCTAGTTGTGGACTTGGGATAAAATCTAACATTTCTGGCTCGAACGAAAAGACATCAACACATTCAACGCCATGCACACCAATTTTGTTCATAAACTGAAAACTATTGATTGGCAACCACCAGACACCAATTTTCCTGTTTAAAAAATAAGAAGACTTAAGATTTAAACTCAAGAATGATTTCGACTCCGTCTTGTTTTCTTGTGTCTTACTCTCTGAGAAACTGATAAGGAAGAGAATAAGTAATTTTTTGTTGACCAAGTAGTACATAATGGGTACCAGGCTTTAATCCTTTCCTTCAAAAATTGAATCAAGAGTGTTTTGTAGGCATTGATAATGATATGAGAGATGTCCGGTGTTTATCAAAAAGCCTAACCCTGGTAGTCTAGCTATATCAAGCTGAAAGTCTTGACCGTGGCCATTTTACTGCCTCAGCGACCTTAGCGAGCTAGGCCACCATAAAGATCTAAGACGACCGCTACATTACAGGATCGCCGAAAATATGGGTGCCTTGTTTGATCAATTCAGGTTATTCTCTCCTTTAGCAGAGCATTTCTTCTAACCTCCACGCTTTGATTTCTAAGTTCTTCAATAGTCCATTTTGCATAAGGTAGCTTAGATTAGTGAAGATGCATCTCCAATGCCCTCGTAACAAAAGCCACTTTCGAGTCATGCAAAACTCTCTCGACTGTGGTGAAAGAAAAGTAACTATAAGATAAATTGATAGATCCATTTCTTGGATGTTGGTTGGCTTCGTGCATTTCGCCGCGCTCCCGCGCACAAGCTTTTAACTGCGTTAGCCCTATCTCTCACTTGATAGACGCGACACGTCTCCTTGCAGCTAGCTCCAGATGTTCTTTCCCCCTTTCCTTTTTTCACAAAAAAAAAATAGAATATCAGAAGCTGAATCACTTTTCAGTTCGCTGCAGTCGAATTTGGAAACAACATAGACAGCGTTCTTCTTCTGAACTATACTGCTTTTTTTGTCTCCGATAAGAATGAGTAATCTTGCAGATTCACAGTCAAATTTTCTCAAAGTTCAAGAGGGCATTCCTGTTACTTTGCAGACATAGTCCTAGTTTGAGCATTCAGAACTAGAAACCTCTGCGGCTCCAATATTTGCTCATAACTCTATCTTTCAACTTCAAAGAGACCACCAACACCCAGATC